CCGAGCTAAAGGCTCCGAAACTTGTGTTTCCCTGTCACCCGCGGAGGAAGCGCGAGCGGGAGCGGAGCACATGACGGCGCCGGCTGCCAGCTGGCCCCGGCTGCGCGCTCCCCACACCGCCCGCGCCAGCCTCCACGGGGGGCCAGCCCCACAGCTCCCACGGCTCCTGCTGCACGGACCCGCTCATGGGAAAGGCAATTGGCAGTGGCAACTGCTATTTATAGGCCTCAAGTTTGGAGAGAGAAAAAAAAGGCTGAAAGGAGTCTACACTGTATGATTACAGGGTGCTTAAAATACATMCTGAAAAATATCTTATTTTATCCTTGTTTCAAGGCATTTAAAGAAAGATTTTTTATGTGTACATGTTACTAGTGCCCAAGCCATGCTACGTTATTTGCTTGCTCTTATGAGCAAACAAGCTCATGAAAACCCAAAGTGTTCAGGCCTCAAACACTCAATATATGCCCACGGTAAACAGAAAAGAAGAATTCAGAAGAGCAGCACAACATCCAAGCGGCCTATCTCAGGGCATACAAAATTGAATTTGGAGAAGATCAAGCAAGATTTCATCAGAATCTAAATCCTGCATCTGAAGGACTTATGTAATGATTAGTGAGAAACTGTACTACTCTTACTACTATAATCTTTAARGAGTGTCAGATATTTGATGATCCAGCTCCACAAAACGTAACATGCAGAAGGGCAGAGTGGCTACACGGCCCTAGTCCGGGTGCCTCCCACGGAGGACTTCCCGGTGCTCCACAGGGGTACCTGGAACTGGCAGCATGGAGGTGCACGGGCTGACTGAGCCACTAGGGAACACTGAGGAAATCAGGCCTGGCTTGAGAAAACGCCACTGACAAAACAGAGAGACCCATGTCCCCATTTTGCCCAGCATCAGGATGTGACCAGCAGCTGGGACGCAGAGGGAGGGCGCACAGAGAAGAACCCGCGCGGGTCTCCATGCCTTCCCGTGCCTGCTGTGGGAGCGCTGTGGGTGAGGGTCGCGCTTCCTTCCCGGTGCGGCCCGGCCCGCAGGAAGCCGAGCGCCCGCGAGGAGCTCTGCCGAGCGGAGCTGCCCCGCGCCGTGCCGGCCCCCCGCCCCGTGCCGTGCCAGCCCCCGCTCCTTCCGGCGCTTCGCAGCGCGCCCTGCCCAGGCCCTTCTGGGGTTAACGCGGAGCGGAGCAGAGCGGAGCCAGCCCGGTGCCCCCGGCCCCTCCGCCCTGCCCRGGCAAAGCAGCAACACGGTGCCTGCCTGGGCAACGCGCCTCCTTCCCTAAGCRGGCTTTGCTACGGGAAACCCCGCGCAGAGCAGCTCTGGTACTCTTCATTTGCCCAGCCAAAATACAGGGTGGTCGCCTGGCTCCAGCGCCGGGGCTCAGCTGCAGCCAAGCGCAGCCCGGGAGCGCAGCAGAACCACGGCCGACGCTGCCCAACGCGCTCCAGACAGAGCCCCAGGCCCACAAGCTCRCACGTCCTCAGCTGCAGTTCTTCACGTGCCCATCTGCGGGCCTTCAAGCCAACTGCAATCCTTACACAAGTCCAGGCCAGATCAGCTACAACGCTGCTTCACTTTATATCATAAATAACAGTCATTGCTGGTCACAGACTACTACAGGTAAATGGATATTTGGTTGCCCCTGCAACACCTCAATTTTCATTATTTGATTTAGATTACCGCATTTGTATGGCTTTATTGCAGCTTCATTTCAAATATTTTAACAACGGTATTTGAAAGTGGGCTTGTTTTCAACCTGTATCAGAAGTCACTAAAAAAACAGGAAAYGGACAGTCCCAACACAGACGTGCCACGCAGGCCGGGTAAAACAGCAAGGCGTTCTTTAAGGGTCTGGATTTAAATAACATTTCAAGACTATTTTCTTATAGATACTGGTTTAAAATAAAAATAGAGGGTTTTTTTAGCCTATCACCACAAAGGACAAAAATTTTCATTACAACACTAAGTACAGGGCAAATCCATTTACATCTGCTCTGTCCTCAAGATCCTCTTGTCACCACCATAAAAAGAAACACATGACTAAATGGTCTCACCATGCCGGATTAATGAATGAGTCATTCTCAGTCACACACCAGTTTCACGTAGACAATAACAYTGTTTATATCCTCTGCGACGCAGCGAGATAAAAGGCACAGGAAACAGAGCGTAGCTGGTGTTGAAGGCACCACACAGGGTGACCCCTGGGAAAGCTCCTGGAGAAGGGACCACTTTCAAGGCAYACACACGTGTGGGGAAAAGACAACCAGGTAACGTGTCTGCATGTAGCAAACAACTCCCTAACAAGGCCCATATTTGCTAGATGCAAGACTGTAAAGCAGCAGAAAAGGTGGGGAACAGCTAGAGGAGCGCAAGGCGCGTCCCCTCCTTTTGGCAACCACATCCACGCAGCGCTTACGTAGGTTGCTGACTCTGTGAGAAGGGCAGCACGTTTGTGTATGCAGAGAAGATGCCTGGTCTGGCAATCCATGGGTCGGGGCAACTCGGCGGGCCCCGCTGGAGCACCCTTGTTCCTGCCCTTGCCCTTGCTCTCAAAGAGGCACCACYGGAGAGGAGCCGCTCGCCCTGCCCGCCTGGCCAGCCCCGCTTGCTCCTGCAGCACTGCGGGGATGCCAAGGGCGCCGCTCGCTTCACCTCGGGCCTCGTCATCCTCCAACTGGACACCACCACCTTGGTCAGGGAACTCCTCAGCCCGGCAGTTAGGTTAAACAGCACCGCGTTTCCAACAAAGCTCATCTAAGCAGAATTCATACAAATGGTCGTCTGCTGCCCATTACTAATGTTAGGAGTATTCACAATGATGGGAAAAAGTTACTCAGTAGTTAAGAATCGTATCTGAAGTGAAATGGAGTCTTCCCACACAGATTCACACTCTGTTTGTTTTGGCAGCAACGTACTGGAACTTCAGGCACTTCCAGCAATGTGCAATAAAAAATGTTTAGATCACCACGGTCTCCAAGGACTCCATACTGAGAACGCACAGCTATGAGTTTGAACCAAAAACTATACGTACTGAGAAAGACTCAACATTCACTGATCTTTACAAAGCACGGCTCTTAACTTCTGTTTTCCACTCAACAGCAKGTTAAAAGTATTTCAGATCAAACGAGGGAACAAAGGGGCCATTATTTCATTTTAGAAAGTAGATTTTCAGAAGTCAGAAAGTTTACTGAATGTTTATCTGGCATGGAGGCCTTCTAACTCAAAAACAAACAAACAAAAAAAAAAACCACCAAACACCCAAGAGCTACTTTATATTAAGTGATTTAAGACCAAGACTGTGCCATCTGATTTGCAGCATTAAGCATATACAATATAACAAGCAAAATGAAGGAATGCAGACCATCTTGCCACTTCACATATGTTTCAGCATAGTCTCACAATTTAATATTTGTCTAATGTACTGCTAGTACATAATTCAGAGTATTTTAAAATGGTTTCTTCATCCTTAAAGATATTATCATTCAGTAAAGTTCTTATCTTTACACATAAGATTTGCTAATGAGAAATTGCTAGCCCTGCAAAGAGAGACACACCTAGGAATGCAGGTTTCCAAAACTTAACATAATCAGTTAAATAAAGAATTAATCACAATGTTTATCAGCAAGTGTGCATTGCTTTATAGGGCTACATTCAGTATCTGAACAACCTCTTGATAAGAGGTAAATTTGGAATGCTTTAATAGCATAAAGGAATCTGCTAGCAACCTTCTTGCACTGTTAAAATGAGCAGCTAATTTAGCTGTCTGTTGTCACCAAACTGWTCACAATGACTACAGATCCACCTCTGCCAGGCAGCTGTGCGCTCCCTGCGACAGGAAAGCAGCCTGAGCTCTCACACAACAACCGCCCCAGTAGTGAGGAAGATCAAGTTTAAATCCTGAATTATTGCTCACAAGCTATTGCTTCTGAAATTCTATCTGTGACTTAATTATTTTATTATTTACCAAGACAGACTCAGGATAATTGTGCAAATGACAAGGGTGCATTTGCAGCAGTAACCTCTTCACTTCAACGTGCATGCACCTTGCCATGCCGCACTGGAACTGCCCTGTGTCTAGGATGCTGCCAGAACCTCAGAACACATATACCGCTGCTACGCTGCTGCCAGCTGGGCCTGGCAACAAGACTGCTGTGCAAAAGGCAGCCCTCCTCATATATTCAGTTTGTTTTGCTAAGCTCATCTTGTGAAAAATGATCTACTGCCAAAAGGAGATTGATTACACTTACTGGAACGCACATTATCACAGACAATGATCTTGATACGTTTCAGGCAGAGAATAGACGCTAGCACAAGTATTCTCTCTGTAAAATGAATCTGGGAGATTGYGGTTGGGCTCCGAGGGCGAATTTACACTTGGTGCTCAGCTGATTCAGGAGGCTGCTGCTGCCAAAGGAGGATTTCCTACTCGGCGTTGCATCATCCGGCCCCTYGGCGGCCGCTGTGCCCTCCGGGCAGCCCGTGCTTGGGGCCGCTCCGCCCCGCAGCACCCGCGGCTTCACCCTGCCGAGGAGCCCTCAGCCCGCTGAGCCCTGCCCAAGCACCAAGCACAGACCCAAGCACCAAGCACGGCGGGAGCCGGACCCCTCGCGCCTTGCCCTGCCCTTCTGCTGCTTTTCTTTTCCTAGCTCTCTACTTGGTGCTAGGGAAAAAAAACGTCTTGGGAGAAGGAGGAGGGAAGGAAGGGTGTCAGGACAAAATTACATAGTATTTATTCAGGGCCATCTGTTATTCTCAGTCTCAAAGTACTATTTTTGTACCGCCACAGTGTACAATCGCTGTCATAAGAGASAATTTATGGCTATTCAAATTGTAATCAGGCCAGCAGAAGCTGAAATATCAAATGTTCTTCTGTTTGTCACAGAAGAGATTTCTAGACCTTTTCCTTAAAGAGAAAAAAACCATCCCCTGTTCTCCTGTTCTTTAACTGCATGCATGTTAACAGACAAATGGTGGGTACTTGTGCACTAACCAAGCTTCTTACCTGATAGGGCTGAAAGGCACTATCTTCAGTTATAAAATCCAGCTGCTTGTCCACAAGGAATTCTACTGCAGTAACTGCATTGTACACACTTTTTCCAACCAAGGGCTTGAATGTCTAAAAAAAAAAAAAGAAAAGAAAAAAGAAAAGAAAAGAAAAAGGAAACAGAAAACAAATTAAAATTAAAAAATAGCTCAGCTCAACTCCTCTGGATCGTGTAAGTACTGACATATCGGTTCTTCCATCAAAACAAGTCAGAACAAAAATAACTAATTATATGAGAAATGAGAATTTTGTGCTGCTAGCTTTTCCTTTGTGCAGTTGGTGGAACACGAGCAAGAAAAGGGAACTGCACCACACGCTGTTCCTTTTCCTCATTGTTCTTGAGCAAGAGTGTTTACCGCAGAAGCTCAAAGTACAGGAGCACGATTATATTTTAAACCCCCAGCTCAGCACRCAGATCCTCTCTGCCTGCAGGCCTAGCTAGCGCCGCGGCAATTACACTGAGGACACTGAAGTGGAAACCACTGCAGACACGCAAGYCGAAAGGCTGCGCCGAATGGTTCACCTTGCCTCAAGTCAGCCACCTCATTTCCCGGCTCGGCAGGCAGCTCCCTTTTCCTCCCCCGCGGGAAGGGCTGCCCGGCCCAGCCGACTGGGGCTCCTCTCCGCCCGCGCCGCCGCCGCAGGCACAAACCCTCCCCGCGCACACGGCCAAGAAAGGGCAAGGAGAGAGGGAGACCGGGGAGGGCAGCGACAGCCTCCAGACTAGGCCTTGGAGACGGTCTAGACACGACTGCGGGCCCGAGCGCCCTGCCCACTCCTCCCGAGGAGCACGTCCAAATGGCAGCACGCGCAGCGAGTCCTACGCAGCGGAGTGGGAAGAGCGCTGCCGAAGCGGGAGCGAGCAGCCGCGGCGGGGCCGGCGCTGGCAGCGTTTCCTGGAACAGAAGCCGAGCGCGAGTGTGACTGAGCGGGGATGTACCGAGAGGCGATGAGTCAGGTGGAAAGGAAATCCCAGTGGATAGAGCAGAGAGAAAATGCGGCTCTGAGGACAGACGGAGCGCGCTGAGAGGAAGTCACTAAAGAAACAAAGAACAAAGCAAAAAAGCAGACAAGAATTATTAGCAAATATGTGCAGGATATAAGGAAAAAAGTCACAGAGCAGCAGGAGAAAGAAGAAAGTTGTTGCACAGGACAGAAAAAAGGCACAAGACAAAGCCAAGGGAAAGCCCTTTGAGAGGGGCTCCGCGAAGAGGGCTCTGCAGCGAGGAGGACGAGGGGAACGCGCGGCGGGCCGGGCAGCGGGCGCAGTCACCCCAAGAGGCCGGGTATCCCCTCACGGCAGCCGCGCAGACGGAGCAGAGCCCTCGCCGGCCTGCAGAATGGCACCGGCCCTCAGGTACCCGCTGAGCCACCCACACCTTGCTGCCTCCTCACTGGCCTAACTCAAAACTCAGCCTCTATGGAGGAGCTTAAGCCCTGGCACTTAGGAAGCAAGCGAGAAACCATTTTGCAGGAGATGTGTAATATTTTCTAATCCATACATCCAGCTCTATAAATGCTCAGACATGATGTTCTCCCATCTGTTCTGTTTCATTGAAGGCTGCGTTTCAGCTGCTCCCCTTCTTGCACGACCCAGGAGAAACTCACCAGCCAGTCAGCCATTTCCACAGTCTCTGCCTAGCCGAAATGGCTGGAGGGGCAGAAGAACGTGGCAACGTACAGGCTGCAGAGGCTGAAGAGCAAATAATGATTTAACCTTTAATGGTTAAGAAAAGGCCTTTGCTCTTGCATCACTTTTCTATAATGGACCTTGTATTGTTAATACTCAAGTTAAGACAGGGTGGAGTCCACATCATATAATTGCAAAGCCTGAGTGCGTAAACTCACAACTAGCAAGCAGATAATTTTTTTAAATGTTGACCTGTCTTTCAGTTATTAATTTGCATCTGAATCTTAACACACAGTACGGGGGGGAAAAAAAAAGGAGGCTGTTTTGAAAAAGCAGAACAACTTTCTTTCAATACAATTATTAAGGTCAGCAAGAGCATTGCTGGCTGCCTATGACAGGGCACATGGCACCATTAGGTGCAATGCAATCGTGTGGAACGTGGCTTGCAGTTCCCAGCCAGGGATTTAGACAACGCTACAGATTAAGGTATGTGTGAGCCACCGGTTTATCTTACTGCTGGTATTAAAAGAACTAGTTCCAAATATAGATCTGCGAACGTGATTATTCTCAGAAGAGAAACATAATCCCTTCTCATTTGCCTGCATAGACCTAAGTCTCTAGACAGGCCAACGCCCCCACAACACGCGTGAGGAGGATGCGGGCTTGCTGACAAGCACACAGCAAAAATATGTAAATAAATAAAGCAAAACAGGGCCGTGCCACCCAGCTCCTCGCAGGCGGATGGCTACGCAGCTGAACAAAACTTATTTGGGGCTTTTCAAGCATATTAGCAAATACTCCCGCTATCAAAGAACAACCAAACCCCACCCTTTCGGAAGGAGCAGGCCTTCTGGGGAAAGCAAAGTCCGGGCTCCAGCAGCACACGCAGGAGCTACACGGCCGCGCGAGGCAGCCCTGCTGGTCCCAACACCCAGGCAGCCCRAGCCATGCGCCGTGGCAAGAAGTGAGCACCGCCACGGGTGATGGCAGGAAAGCGSCTCTGACAAGCTCCAGGTCTTCTCATGGGCCTGCAGAGAAGGATGCTCCACTCCCTGAGCTCCCGAAGTAGGGCACGAGTCTCTGGAGGATCACGTGCGCTGGCTGGAACCACTAAAAGCTGCATGTCCTCTACCAAGAGCCTCCCCTGCATAAAGCTTCCTTTAGCACCTGCATTAACCACCTCTCCAAAGACCACAGGCAGCCRAAGGGCTTGAGCACATGCTCCATTTTTAATAGCATCCAACTTCACTACTCTTCTAAACGGCTCTTTCAGGAGTCCCACTGCCCCTGGCCACGTGGAGCCAACGCGGGCTGAAGGGAGCTCCATGAGCGCTCCATGGCCCCAGCACGGCTCTCCTCTGCCCCCCGGCATCGCTGTCCYACCCCAACAGCCCTGGAGCTGCCTGCCCGCTGCAGCTCTGAGACTGGGCAGAAAAGCGGCACTACAATTAGCCTCAATCCCAAGCACATATATASACATATATATATATTCATATTTACTAAAATACAAACATCACCACTTTCCCCTAAAAAAGCTCAAACTTTTGGATAGCATTCATCAAATATTCACTAAATACACAAGTCCGCTTCTTCTAATACACATACCACAAAAAAAATCATTATTTGGAATTTTGGTCAGCCCCTGGCAACCAGAGGCCCTGTTACCAGCAGCAGCAGCGCTGCAAAAGCCTGGAGAGCGTTTTTATCTCTGCTTAATGCAATTAAGCAGCTGGAAACGGGGTAGGCAGCAGCATGTGACGAGGCGGCGCGCGGCTTGCCAGCATGGACCGCGCTCCAGCCTGTGCGCCTGAGAACTGCTGACTGCAGGGTGGTACCTCAGCATTTCCAGGCTGTTACACCAGAAAATTTTCATTCCAGGAACCGCTCGGGTTACAGCTGAACCAACAGCTGTGTGCCCGGTTCATTAGCGCATGTAAAAATACTTCATTTGCGTTACTACAGCTTGGAGCTCGTTTGGCTGGGCCCCCGGCTCCTGCGCCTGGGAGCCACCCTGGCGATCACAAAAGCCCCTCTCGGAATGGATGTGCAGCGTGTTTGCTTTCCAAAGGTAGCGCTCTGCAAGAACTGATACCGCAAAGAAAACAGGCCAGCAAAAACTAGGGATTTATTCAGGAACGCTTTTCTTACGCTAAAGCTTGTTAATATTCACCAGGACGTGTATTCTTTGGCAAAGATGGAAGCAATTTTATATATTTCCATTTTTAAACCGCAAAAATCGAGAAGATCACATAAACTTAATTTATATGTGCTATTAAACAAACTTTTCCATACATTGTTTTTTAGCAYAGCCGTTTAGTCTGCAATAGCGCAAACACTGGCACCTTTTCACTATGACACTTAGCCGCTGAGCTTCCCAGACGCCCCGTTTCACCTCCAAAGGCCGCGTGCTGCCACGGTTTGTTCCCAAAAGCAAACCGCCGCGAGTGGAGAGGAGCGGACGAGCGGAGCAGCCGCGCAAGGAGCGGCGGGCGGGGAGCGCCCGGGCCTGCCCGCACTGCCGGCCGGCGCCGGC